TTCTTTATGCACGCACCACCACACATAAAAACAGTATGATCCTTTATTTTGCTCGCATTTTGATCAACCGAGCAAATATTTTTGAGGACTTGAACAATCATCTCTCACATTAGGATTTTACGTAAACCCGTCTGTTTATCAATTAGTAAATGTATACTTCTTCTTTTTCCAATAATTAACATTCTTTCCCCTGCTGTAACCTGTCGAAAATGCTGAAAATTCATCCTATCGGGTGCATAAAGCTTTCGTTGACTTGACTTGACTTGATCTCAATGGATTTGTTTGCCCCTGATTTGCAACAATTTCAATTCATTCAAACTGCTGACCTGATCGCCACAATTTGAAAGCCCTCTTTGTAATGCTGCCTAAGTCACTTCTGATGTTTAATTTAACTTGTCCTTCTTTGATATGGTGTTTTTCAGAGGTTTTTTCTTCATTATATTTTCTAAATGTTATTTAAAGGGAATAAAACACTTTTAGAAAACCTGTAATCATCTTCCGTTCTTAACCTGTGGGCTAAATGACTAGGGAAGTAATGCGTCCAATCAACTCAGGCGGTCCGGACTTGAGATCCATTTCTGACAAGAGGAAATGCTATATTTGTCTATTCTAGAGAATTGATTGAAATCCACCTAAATAATTGACTTCTCCCCCACACTCCCGAAAACAATTTTTAAGAATAGTCGGTTTTCAACGGCCAAACAAAAGACACAATCATCCCCTCCCCCCCCGCCTCCCTAATGATTCGAACCAAACAGCAAGTGAACGACTGAGAATCAGTCTGTTTTGGGTCAAGTTTCTGCCAGCGCCATCACAATCGTGAGGACTATTGAAACGGAAAAAAACATTACTCCGAACTGTTTTTCTTCAACTATCCAATTGGGGTACAAAGCGGCGGCCAGTCTATCGCTAGGGCAATGAGTAGTTGGATCAGTTCAAGCGATGGCTTTAACTCAATACCGATTTCGGCAATTACGTAACCTCTCCTTTAAATGGCACAAATAGTTTGAAATTATTTATCACAACACTTGCATGGTTTTAATTGCGAATCACCTTTATCATGTTGGATGAATACGGTTTGGATCGCAGTTAGTTAGTCAGTAAAAGTCCGCATACATGAATGATCCCAATTTTTTCGTGATCACTTTCACACTCGGCGGGATGTATGAGAGCGCATCGAATGAGCGGCGAGTCACTATTGAATGCAATAGATTCACTGTGTGGTGTAATAGGCAACCAAGACGAAGCCCCGATTCCCGGTGTTACGAATGAGCCCGCATTGCCAAATAGAAGTAGGGATGGGGCTGTAAAGGAAGTTCTAACTTAGGATTTTCAATTCATCTCAATCTTGCGTAGCATGTGTTACAGATCTCGATTTTTGTCTAAGTCCACATCACGCAAAATTGGAACTCGGAGTGGTAAATTCCCTGGTTATTCACCCAAGTGTATTACCATCTACTTTTCAATACGGTTATTCACGTCTGAATGTGTGACTGAAGCTCGGTACCTAACATCGACATTTCCAGTTGACGTCCTAACTACTGAAAAATTCATCAGGGGTCAATTTATTGTTTTTACCAATACAAACGGTCTTTACCACGGCGCCATTTCAATTAGGAGAATATTTAGAATGAACCTAAAAAGAATACAACAATTCAACGAGAGATTATATTTTTCATCATAATAAACGCTCAGAGCACAGTGACAAGAAAACATACATGCAGTGAATTTTTGCTGCAAACAATAAAAGTTCTCTTGTCGGGAATGATTTCTCTATCGTGCCGCACGCGGATTGCACCCAGATTTGTTCAAGTAAACGGCAAACGATTCACTTGACATCCGCAGGTGACGGTGAATGAGTATACAAATTTAACAACTAGGTTCCTTACGAATTAGCCCCAGAGTACGATGACACGGATCATTTATTTTGGTGAGTTAAAAGGTGTTTGATAAAAGAACTGCTGTTTAATTGAAACCGACCATCCTTCAAACTTTATCTTCACACACAGTACCCAGATCTTCTAGCCAAGCATACAGTCGGAAGAACTGGATATCAGTTTCGCAATTGTTGGAGCTCATCAGTAGTACCATTTTCGGCCCTGGTATGAGGTGGTTGAAATATTGGTATCATGCACACATATGCCTTCCGTGAGATGGTTCCGGACGAGACGGTGAGTATGCAGTAATGACGAGCTCCAATAAGAGTAAAATTAGTGCCTCCGAGTGTATGGTTCACTGGAAGAGGTGAGAAATGTGTGTGAAGGTGAAATCCGAAGGATTGTCAGTTCCAATCAGTCAGTTATATCACAACACTTCTTACAGGTAGCTGTACGTCAAATGCAAACTATAAATGTATCATTCTGAAGTGTTCCACTATCGGATGTAAGTTAACGACGTGATTGGTACCTCATCCTGCTCCACGATGGGAATAGACTGAATTAACTTAACCTGTGTGTGTGTGAATAAATTTAACCTTTGTAATCAAAACCTGTTTTCCCGCGGGAAATTTTTTTGTTTCGTCCGCTTAAATCCAAAACTCGAACAATTCTACTAGGCGAAATGAGCCAACAGAAGAGGTTTTCTTCCAATGAATCTGGCAAACCCCTGATTTTCCGTTTAGGTTTATTAGCTTGATTTTTACGATCTAGTTGTGTGTTTATTAGCCACTACAGCTACGAATCGCAAACAAGTATTCACTGGAAGGATAACGTTTTGTTAATGTCAGTTTACAAGGATGTAAATTTATGCCTTTAGTCACCAGTAATCCACTTCGGAAAGATGAAGGTTTCCCCATTGTCGGATTGACAGAAATGCAACTAGCCTATTTAGGCTATTAAGGGCATAAATTGTACAGTAATGAATGGTATATTGTCCTGTCCGTGTATGGTTTTATTTGGGAAAACATTGACTTTACTCTCCGGTAAAATGACCTCACCTCAGTGAATCAAAACATTGACCAGAATCAGTTGATACCGTTAAACGTAGTCTGTTAGAATCGTGCTTTGGACTGTGGATGTTTCGCTGGGATCAGAAACGTCTGTTTTGCTTTTCATTATTCATTCTACCAAGTGCTGATTTGAAAAACCAAAAGTTAGATTTTTCTTACCGTTGAAAGGTGACTGCTTTTATACCCCCGCTTTTCACACACACACATACACACACGTACTCGGCGATGACGACGACGCATTCTCCTCACCGATTTTCGTGTCACTTTTCGCCACCAATGAGTGCTGATCATTTATTCAAAAAATACAAACTCACTTTATCCCCCGGCCAAACCTTATTTTCTTGGGTTCGAATAAAAGAGCGGTATAGTCATAAATGAAGGTAGATTGCCGATTCCGTATAGTGTGCCCATGGTGTATTTGCATTTCACGAAGTAAATTGCCTTTGAATGTATCTTACGTTGCGTACATCTGTGCCTCAATAGTGATCATGCTAATAATTTTCTTCATATGAATTTGCACTGTTTTCCATGTATTAAAGTATCAAGCTTGGATTAGCCCATTTGATTGTTCAGAGGTACCAGGCACTCTTGATAGTTTTGAGTGTAAGTTTCGCTCCTTGGGATGTCGTTGATTCCCACCAGTTAAATGCATTTAAATGCGATAAAGATGTTTGTGATAACCGATAAAGAGCACCGGGACAGCTTTTTCGCCCTGTTTGGGACTCGTCAAAAGTGCGTGCTTTTTGTGTCCCTGTCAGGACTGGAACCACTTTCAACTAGTGGGGAATTAATGATCTTCTAAGGAGTGGAAGCCAAACCCAAGACCATCAACAGTGCCTCGTGCCTATGAACAATCGAATGGACTAATCCAAACTTGATGCTCTAGAATTCACTGAGGACTTCTAACAAGGTGATGACCATCGATCGTGTAGCTCAGGGGTGAATGTTTGAAGTCCCAACTTGAAGGTTCGCGGTTCGAGTCGTGACGGGGACACAAAACGTATGCACTGCTCAGGAGTCTCAAACAGGGCGGAACAGTGCATTTAAAGTTCCAGGTATATTGGAAATTCTCATTTTACTCCACTTTGAGATAGTTAAGCCCTTAAAAGGTTCCCCCACAATATCCAGCATCAGACACTAACAAAGCCTATCGGTCGCATTAACATTTATCATCAGGTACGTAGTTCGGGCTCCACCTCCACTTCCCATTCAAAGCGTTTCTTCCACACACCCACGCATAACAAGATTCGCGCATTGCATAAACGGGTCGAATTTCACCGCCCGTGACGCAAGTCTGTATAAAAATTTCACAACTGTCTATTGTGATGGATGCCCCCACGTCTTTTTCAGCACAACCTCCTCCTCTAGGTATGCGTCCGTCGTCGGTATGCTTTGTTCGTCAAGCCCTATTGGATCAATATGTACATGTCCGATGCACACAGGCCTTGTTTGAACTACCCAGGACAGTAGAGTGAACTGGAAAAGAAATGAGATGAGCTTAAATGTCCAGCGGATATGATTCTCGGTTGTGCAAATTAAATTCCTGTGCTCCGGAAGTGAAACAGACAAACCGTGAACGAAGTTTTTCCTGCTTAGCGGGTCAGTGAGCCGTGAAACAGCCAATTATTTTGTTATCACCATGTGTATGAGCAAAGTAGAAAACCACACGTTTAAACTGGGCATTGCCATGAGAATAAATCGTATGCTGCAATTCTGGAGGCCGGAGGCAACTACAAGTATGCGATGAGTGAAACCGGACGCTACTGGGCGCGTCTCTATGTCTCGAGACAGGAGACCGACGACTTAGGTGGTCAATATTGGCTGAAGAGGCATTGTCTGTACAACTAAGCGGTGACAGACGATCAGCGATAATGTTTTTGGGAACTCAGTGTGTTGACGTTGGTGAGTTCTTCGATCTCGAAGTGCTGTTTGCAGACGTTCTGTAGCCAAGCTAGGCGACATCATCAGTGATCAACACTTTCAGTTCGGAGAACTCATCAACGCCAACATTTGCATCCCGAGCTGCCAACAGTCTACATCATTTCCAACGTAGTGTGTTCTTTTTCGCCCAGCATGCAATCTATTTGCAATGATATACTCATAGAAGCGACCAATGGCAAGTAAAAGTGACGCTATCTGATTGCAGTCTCATAACTGAAGCAATCTACATACCTCTGTTATTCTACACTTGTCTGCACACAAGCATACAAGTTCATTTTAGAGGTAATGCATCACGTGACGCGAGAAATGACATTTTTTTTATAGTACCAAGATTTCACACGGATTGTTTCACAGGGCCGATCATACTCCTCGCGTAGGAACACGTCAGCGAAATGCCTGCAGATAAATCTATTATCTCGGCATGAGAAAGATCAATGATGGACGTAATTGGTTCAATCTCTCCGAATCTCGGAATATTGAACACGTACACATTCAATGAACAAATTGTACGGAGTATTTGGTAAGTTTGATCTCTTTATTGCATTATCACATTAGTCTGGAGCAAATACTTTGTAAGTCTGCCGTGTCTTGGTGTTTTCATCACGGCTTGCACCATACACAAATGTAACAGTTAAATTATACACATCTCGAGCGGTTCCTATCCACAAAGCTTATCCAGTTCCAACCTCCAACCTCGGGAACCTCCGGTGCAATGCCCAAATATCCTTGTGGAACAGTGAAACGGATAAGCATTATTCAGGGACTCTGAATTCCTCGACCAGGGGCTGTGGCTTGCTAACCCAGGGATAGAACGCGGTTATAATCTGTCAGAAACACACCGATTCTCAGGGACGATATTGCCGGAAAAACTTGCCCTACCACTGATTACCATTCAGTTTGATCTTTCTACCATCAACTTATTCCTTTTAATTTCGTCTTTTTTAATTGTATACAATGTAGTATCGGTAATTAATTATCAGCTGGGAGGAAGCGGGTACTGAAAGGATCAACTGGGGTAACCATAAACGTTTGAATAGTTCCTCCTGCGAACCGACCGAATGCGTTAAAATTGTTAACCAATCATACGATTAACCCGTTTCCCGTTGGATAGAAGATCGAGTTTTTTAAAGCAGTGGAAACCAATGCTGTTTAATCAACATCCTTCAATTAATATTATGAATTACGAGTATTTTTTATTGAAAGATAAATGAATGAAAATGTGCTGTTTCGTACAATTTCAAATCGCTCCAATTCCCACTTGCTCGTTATGGTTGTTGTTCAGTCCGGGCACTGAGACGTTTCCAGATCAGTGATGCTGTCCGCTTTCTCATCGGTTACTTTTCCAGTGAAGCAGATTTTGTGCATGAGTTCCAGCTGTGGCGCATTGAGGAGAGAGGAGAAGAGGAGAAATAGTACACCTTATACACATTGGTTTGTGTTTTCAACTTACCACACACTTCTTTTTGCCACTCTCAGCTGTGATATCCAACAATCTGGGAGAAACACACCCAAGACACAATTGTTTTTCCCTCAGAGCAGGTATGAGGAGTTTCCGGAGCTAAAATGTTTTTTTTGTATAGATGGCTCAACTCGGTGAAGTGCATGCGACTCACAACCGGTTCGTACAAGCCACGTTCCGCGTCAGTGGGTTTCGCCGCATGGCTTATGGCAAATAGACAAACCATTAGGAAACCCGTACACAAGTTAGGCATCTTTGCGTTGATCCTAATTTTTTGTTTTCCTCTTTCGTGAGGCTGCTATTGGAAGGAAATGTTGAAAGGGAATGTAAAATGTTTTAAACGGAACACTTTCATGACGTGATCTTTTGAATATGAAGCAATATTTATCAAATAGGCCTCCCGAAAGCTGGTTTGTATTCCTTGAGTAATTGGTTCTGGAAACGACTAACTGGCCATAAATCAGGAAACAAGTACTCCAATGAGTATTTGTCACTTCGGATGGTTCGGGACAAGTTTCCTGGCTAAGCGAAAAGAATTATCTAATTCTATTTAGAAGGGTGCTTGCGCACAGAATAAGTGAGATGTTTTTCAATTTCTCAGCTCTTTCTACACACTTAATATTGTGATGTCTATTGTGATTAGTTCTGAGGAGATCTGCGTAAGTTTATTCTTAAGGTGTGCAAATGGCTGAGATCGGATTTTGTATGATTAAAATAAAAAAATAAAACTCTCTTCCCGTAAACTTGCCGCTTACGAAGACCCCATAACTCTACTTCCAATGCTTGCCTGAGGTTGCTCAATGACGAATGGCAAAATGTTATCGATTTCCTAAATTTTATTAATGAATCATTCCCATTGGATGAAAGAAATGCTCAATCGATGGGCATTTCTTATAATGTAAATATGGCTGCATATTTCCAATAATGTATTCTAACCGTGACATTTACCGTTTCTACTGTAAATACCGCTAGCAAAATATAATATATAGGAAAATTTGATCTATTAGTGGTTTCCGAACAAAAATGCATTTTCGGTTGGCAATTACCATACTGAAATAAATATTAAAACAGCTGTCATATCCTACCAATAACAGAGTTTAGATCGACCGTGAGATCTTACCAAATTTTGGTACCTGACAGTAGACTGAATATTTCCGCGCTGTAGACCGTTCTTATATGACTTGATGTGTGTAAACGCTGAGAGAGAGACTTTTTTGTGTGGTTTCTTACGACGAACGCTCGACCTGTCAGGCGGTTCAGAGCTGAATAAAAGGTACCGGTTAGATTTGAAGGACACAATAAGAGTTTCTTTAAAGAATATCGATTGGCCTTGGCGTTTGCGAAGAACGAAATGCTAACGACCCCAGACATATTATCGACCTCTTGCTATAGAAGCAAGACTCCAAAAATCGCAAAATCGATACAGGTTTGAACCAGCACCAATGCAAGTGTGAACGCTGAAATGCAATCAGATCAAAGGTATGCTATGGCTTCCGTTGCCAACATAGTTTATATTGAACGTACTCCACGTTGAGCGGTTAATTCGCTACCAGACATCTGTATTTTAGGGTGACGAATGCAATCTAAACTGACGAAAAGTATAAATGTGCATTTAACAGAAAGATATCTCGATTTTGGAATGCCGGAAGTTATATTCTATTGTGTCAATCAAGAATAGAAAACGTTTTCCGAATTCATACTTGGGCATCTCCCTCTTCCTCTCTCGGTACATTTCATCAGACGCCAAATAAACGTATAAAAGCCATTTCGAATGCAGTTTACTATTCCTTAAAAGATTCTCTTATCGGTCAGAATCCAGTGACTGAACAAAGTCTAAGCCCGAAGCCCAAAAGGTCAAACAAGGGCAATAACTAGCGCCCGATACATAGAGTATTTCAATTTGCTTATACAAGAATGAATAACTATACACTGTCTTTTAAAACTAATTAACTTACAGAGCTCCTAGCAGTGATAATTTACACGGTTCCCACTAGATTCAAAACATTCTAGAGGCCCATATATATGTCAAATGCTCCATAACCAACCCAAAGAGGAAACTCATATGCAGAACAGTGAACATATTTGTTCAGAGCATATGTCAATAAATTGGTCAAGACAAGGAATCGCGTTTTCACCCCGAGGTCGTGGGGCAGCAACCACATAACCACACAGTGTGTCAACAGGGGAAAAGTGAGTGCTAGGATAAAAAGTGAAATGGACAGTAACATCAGAAAGCCAATCGCATAGCATGGTAATTATCACCGGTTTAGATTGGCCTCTTGCACAGATTTTCTGTAGCCAAATTCATTTGCGTCAAAGTGGTGAGATGCGGACAGTAGAGTGCCTGTAGGCCTCTTTGAATGCCTATATAAGTTCGTAACTGTAACGGGTAAATTAATTAGAAAGGCACTGTTTAGTATCTGGATGATGAAACCCTTGGCAATGGAAGTCAGTTTGTGAAGGGTCATTTGGGGAATACATTTGTACTGTTTCTTCAATCGCGGCGGTTAATACGATTGTCAACAAGAGATGAAGGTCAACTATATCCCGGACTATCCGACATTGTACTACCATCTTTACAAGTGCGAAACTACACGAACAAATAGGTAATACGAAGGGCAACAGTCAGAAAACCGAACTGGATTGGGTACCAGGGAAGGGAACGCAGTCACGGCGAACCATGTCCCTTCCCCTATTGATTGATTTCTCTCCCCCGTGTGTGTTTGCTTGTTCCCAAATTACTCTCACTCTTTCAACCACACATCCCTGATTGGACTGTCTGCTTAAAGTTAATGTGATTACCACAAGGCTGGATTTACCGCATCTTGTGATCATGGTCCTTCTTGTAGATATCATGCAAATGCTAAAGGTGAACAAGCTGTGCGAAACCCTGGTGTTTGTTTAGGAAGAGAACTTTGAATAAATAGTACTAGGGGAACAGTCGGGGACACTGGAGTCTGCACTTGTC